ACCTCCCCCGCCCCTGCGACCTCGTGGCCTCCGCCGCAGCCGTGAGCTAATAGATTGCGCATTCTTTCGCCGGTTTTCTCTCCAGGCTGGCTCCCTTTCGCGCGCCGACCCCGAAATAGAAGAGAAAAAACACGTTTCATTTTCTTCCCACAATACGTCCCCCAATAAAGGAACGCGCTGGAGAAACGCCGCTTTCTGCGGCCAATCGTCAGACGGAATTCCTCGTTATCCGTCAAATTTCCTTCGCTGCCGGAAGCAGAAATATCTCCCATTTCATTTCGCTGCACCGGAAAGCAAACAGCATCCACGAAAGAGGCTCCCGAAATGGAGGACCGTTATGAGAAAGTCTGAGAAAACAAGCTGATGTGGACGGCAAATACACTTCGGTGTCGCATTAGAAATACGCCCCACCGAGGGTTTCAGTTTCGTTGCTCGAGTTGTGTGGAAGGAAGTGTACTTACCGATATTTGGATGTTGAAGTTTGCGGCATATGCGCGCCTCTCGCTCTAACTTCTGGAAATCTGTAAATCATAAAAATACGTGTTAAACAACTCACATAAATATCTGTACAGTAAAAATGAACAGTATGTCAGAACAATAGGCTAATATGAATAGAATGCATGTACAGCATTCTCTAACTGTATTAAAGCTGGATAAAAAAGTGTTCAAATATTAGCAAAGACCAGTTTTCAGGTACTTACTTAGAAACACCATTTAAGATTTTTAAATGAGATTACACGAGATACATTTGCAATTCCGCCGCACTATTAGCAGTTTATAAATTATTCCTGGATACAAAACAAACGTGACGGTTTTATTTGTTTAGTGCATGAGAGATTAAATGCATAACATATGAAGTGCGTAACATTATTTTTCCCTTTCACAAACTTTCTCGTCGTTTTACTTTAGAGGAAGGAATGCCCTTTAATATGCATACCGAGCTGGAAACTATTTGGACGAAAAGAGAGAGAAACACACACAACCTCGTAGGTTATATTATAAAAGTCGCGATTGTAAGTTAGCAACAGGTACAGGAATGATACAAAGAAGGAGAAAACAGAGAAGTAGAGAAATGTGGAATCTTGTAGAATTGTGAAGCACAACTAGGGGTGGTCAATCTTCGTCTAAATGAATTTCTACATGGGCACAGGTGACATTGTTCTTCGTGTCTTATCACGTCTAGGATTTTTGGAACCCCGAATTTCACATGCCAGACGAGCAAGAGGCGACCGTAATCAAGTCACAAAACACACACACGCCAATAAATTCCTTAATACAATTTAAGACGTGTACGTCGATTAAATCGATAAACCTGTAACAGGTTATCGAAATTTCAAACCATCATTCATAACATCTGAAAATTTTCAAAACGATTATAACTCAGGCAAATAAAAATAATATGAAATATTCCAGTAGACGATATAAATGCAACAGCAGAAACAGCATATAAACCGCAAAAAAATTACTATCGATTTCACGCAAATACGAAAACTTGAGTACAATAATGAAATTGTTTGAACTGAAGTTACTAAGAATTATAAATCAAAATAAATTTTAAGAATTGATACCTACTTTTTGAGGCATTATTACAGAAATATAATAAACAAAGAATGAAGGAAATCATTCAAATCAAACAAAAAATGAAGGAATGAAGGAACAAGATCAAAATAAACACGTTTTTTGTGTTAAGATAGAAAGCGATAAGGGAGATCAAGGGAGGACATTTTATTTTGGGATATTTCTTGACTATTATCAAGGAGGTTCAGAAGTAGGTGGCTGAAATACATTTGTCACGCGTTGATGTTATTTTGACTTAATATTCAATATCTTGATGTTTTTTATCATGCTCTTCAAGGACAGTAGTTAGACGTCAATGGCTGCATCGTCGACAAAGGTACCAAGAACTGCCTTTTAAGCTGTTGAAACATGTTGTAAGTTGTTGTAAAATAATGAGTAGACCCACTGGTCAACGCATGCAACCTTGGGGTACTCCGGATTGTACACGGACTGAAATGTAATTTTGTTATTTGATTTGGAAATATAGATCTGCAAGATAGGTTGGTAGCTGCCAAAATATGAATGAAGTAGTTAGCGTTTTAGATTATACGAGAAGGCCTCTATGTCACACGTTATCAAAGGCTTGAGGTACGATTAAAGCAACATGAATAAAGATCGAGGAGGAGGAATGGTGGGGGTGTTACGAACGCATCAAGACGGCGGCGGAGGCCCGCAATTCAGCACAAGGCGATGCGCGACGAAACATGGTTGCCCAGCTATCCGACACTGTTGGGCGACGCTGTGGGGTGGTAGGGCGGTCGGATGACGCAGGGGGGAGGGGCGGGTTTGCACAGCGGCCGTAAACCGCGGTGGAGTCAAGCGACGTCTCGTTATCTCCGCGCGCGTCCGGCACAATAAGGGCTTCTCGCTTCTCGCCGCGAGTTAACGTCCTCGTTACGCCGTCCCCGCTTCCCTCCGCCTCCTCGTGATTCATTTCGCTCCGCCCCGCCCACTCCGACCACCCTGCTTTCCACCATCTCGCTCTGCTTCGCCACACCTTGTTTCGCCGCTTCACCGCTCTCTCCGCCGGTTACGTCCCAAACTCTGACCCATCTCGTCCAGCAGAGCCCCCCCCGTCACCCAACTCTGGCCATCTCTTACTCTCCACCCCGCCCCGCCGCCCTTTCCTGCGCATCCACCTTCCCCTCCACAGCCATAAGAAGCCAACGCTGCCCTCCGCGTGCTCGACTGATGTCCTGCTTAGGAGGAGGCTACGCAAATTGCAACGCGAATCGCTACCCCCCACCCACCCACCTCACCCGTCTCGCTCGCTCGCGACCTCATCTCCGCGCCGCGCCGCGCTTCGCTGCCTCGGCTTCTCGTCCGATAAATGTCGAACGAAGCGACGCCGCCTCGCTTTTTAAGCGCTAGCTTGTGGAACGCGATACAGCGCGCCTGAGGAGCTTAAGATCTTGGGAGATAAGATGAAGCGTTACGGCGCGCTGGATCGAAAAACTGTATGCGACGTAGAAACTCTTTTGGGGGAGAGATGAGGAAGAACGCAGCAGAATAGGTTTGGCGGAACGTCATGTAATTAACAATACATTTTTTAGTTTACTAAGTAATATTTGCCAAGTTTAACGTCATACCTGAATGAATGTTATTTGGTGAAGTTACAAGTTGTGAACTATTTGTGGTAAGGTTATACTTAGCGTGAAAACAAGATAGCTCTTATACTTGGGCGTAGTATGAATAATATGATTTGAATGTTCTACCTAGAAAAAATGTCACATTGTAGAGTAATTATTTTTGAACAAACACGAATGTGTTTTCTAAACAACAAGATTTAAGCATCTGAAATTGCGAAACTCTAAATAGTTTTCATTCCAGTTCTCAAAACACGCGTCTGATGATTCAAAGAAAACGCAACACGAAAGCTGAAGAAAAAAAGGGTTGTTGGACTACTCAAAAGTTAAGTGGAAAATCTGGAATGGATTTCATTGAATTTGAAAATTCATTCTCCAAAAGAATAAATCTTCCATTTACTGAGGAGATTTATATTAATTCCTAATAATTCAAATTCAAATGCGTAGATTATTGAATAGAATAGAAATGATGTTTGGCAGACTTTCTATTTCGCAGAATCGGAGCATCAAAATTCGCAAATTCGAATGTTGTTCTTGCAGCAGACTGTTCTCGCAATTCAAATCTGTACAAAACAGCCAAATACACAACAATAACAATAAAGCTCCAAGACGGAGGTTAACACACAGAAATCCCTACACAGATAATCCCCTCACCCGCGAACACACGTCAGCAACTTTGACAAATGCACACAAAATCCTGGCCACCCCGAGCTGTCTCAGGACACACACTCCCTTCTTGAGGATATCGCCGCGCATCTCCATTTCCCTCCCTCCCGCGTGTCGTAAAAAGAGAGCGCGGAAATGCGAATCGAGGACAAGCGAACGAGCGGAGGTGTCAGCTCCATTTGCGCCCCCCACCGCGAGCGGGGCCCACGTCCAGCGTCACAGGCGGGCGGCGGCGGCGGTGGTGAAATGTTGCATAGCGACTGCGACAGCATCCGACGCGTTGAATACACGCGCGGCGCGCTGAATACACGCGCCTGAGGGCGACGCCGGCGAGGAGGGCGCTTTTTTTCCCGAAACGCGTCGCCCGAGTCGCCTATTTGTCGCGGCGAGCCCGCTGCCCGGACCTGAGGATAGGGGAGGGGAGGGGGAAGGGCAGTCCTTTCAGGGCGCCCTCGAGGGCAAAGTTGAACGTCCGGGAGAGCCGACAAAGCGCGCGACGGCAGAAGACGCGCAGGGGGGGAAGACTACCGACTGGAGGACGTGTGCCGAGAGGGACCAGAGAGCCACGACACGAGTGGCGAAAAGCACGCAGTGAAGATGGAGTTTGCGATGCAGAAAGCTGTCAATCCAACCACCGCTGCGATGTATTTGGAACTGGAGGTGGTCTCAAAATCTGATCTTGAGTATACGGTGAGATGTACTTGGTTTCTATATTTCTGCTAGAAGAGGTTTTGGTCGTAATGAGAACGTGGATATGAGAGTTTTTGCTCACGTTCTGTCGTCTCATTGAAATACTATATAGCGATGGTGGTAGTGACAGTAGTGGTGGCGGCTGCCATAGTAACAGTAGTGTTCGAAATGATGAAAAATTGGTAGCGGTGACAGCAATAGTATTAGAAGTAATAATAGGATTAGTAGTAGTAATAGTATGTACCACATCATACCAATAGTAAGTCACCTTTGAAGCACTTGGAAATTCATTAGATAGGTTCAGAGAAATAAGCAAAGGGAAATAATTACTCCGAGCAATTAAAAACAAACGTATACTCACAAACTAGTAGTAGTAATAGTAATGTAGTGACGTAACAGTAATGTAGTGACGTAAAAATATGGGTAGCGATGATAGCAGGGGCAGCTACGATCATGTTCGAAATTTTACTGAAGAGATACTGAAATACTTTGATACTGAAGAGTAATACTGTTGGTCGTAGGTGATATTACTGGCAATTACACTGGCGTTGGTGCTAGTGATGGTAGTGACAGTATTGGTGGTGGTGGTAGGAGTAGTAACGTACTAGCGACGGTCTTAGTGCTGGTGGTAGCAAGGAGCCGTGTGGCGGTGCACGCGAGGGAAGTGTGTGGCGGGTGGGAGGACGGCGGCTGCTCGTGCAGGTGCCGCGCCGCGCCGCGCCGTGGGGACCGCTCCGCTTTTAATATTAATTAGGGAGGGACGTGGCCTTTACCTGACCGCCAGCTGCTCGCGCTCGCCAGAAACCCTTGTCGACAGCGAGGGCTCCCGACAAACAGCTTTACTTTGGCCCCGACAAGTTCTCGCAGACACCTTTGCCCGGACCTGACACTTTCAAAGTGGACGCACAAGTTTTAACCTTCACAGGCGAAAATACTGCTGACGGTCTTACCCGTGTAGTATTTGGCAATTCATTAGATAGGATCTGAGAAACGAGCAAAGGGAAATAATTACTACTGCAATTAAAGACAAACGTATTCTCACGAACTACTATGATTCGATATTGAAACTAGTCAAAAGCAAATATATAACACAATTTCCTGCATGCTCTAGATTGTTTAGTAAAGTTTGAGAAACACGACCAAAAAAACTCATTTGTTTGCATATTATCACTTATCGTTTAATTATATGCTGCCAAAAACATGCTTTTTATATAGAACATTACTATACGCAAGAAAAAAATTAAAACCGTGCGAGACGCTATAAAATGCGGTTCTCATTGAAACGACATCTCGCGATATAATTCGGTAGTTTTCGGGACTCGTAATTCGGGTGCCGCCTCTTCAGTGAGTAGTAGTTATGGAAATTGAATTTGCAAATCGGAGCAATACCGAGTAGTTTTGTTCCTAATTTACTAAATTTGAAGGCCAATTATTCATAAACAAAAGGTTTTTTAAATGAAAAACATAATTGATAATGAAATAAATTTTATATTAAAGAAATTAAATGGTGTTGTATCATTAATTAAGGAAACAAAAAGGTTTGAAGGGAAAAAAATTGAACGTCGAATCAGGGAAAACTTGCATGGGAGGAGGAGTGGAAAAGATACGTTTTCTATCCAAAAGGAAAGGAAAGGAACATTTCAGCATTGCATTTGCTCCATGGACTGAGGGATGAAAGAGGAGTAAAATCAAAGATTTGCTATAAAAATATGAATTTTATTTGTATTTTGATCGTATGTAAGGGGAAAATTTGCTTACTATTTAACGTGAACCTCTTAGTTAAATATGTTACTCTTTCGTTTCAAACAACGCTCTTTCTATCGACTGCAAAAAAGGGTCTTATAATGAAAATATTCCAATCCAGTGCTTTAATAAATCTATTATAACACGGGAGTCACAATGAATACTCTATTTACAAGTGCTAAATAATAATATATCATTGTTCTAGAAAAAAGTATTGCTCCGACAAGTTCCGTTACAAAAAGTGCAATTCCAATTGTTAAATACACAAATGAGAGATATTGTAACTTATTATTTAATACCGTTTGATTGATCGATGCTATTTCATCTACTAAATATAATAATTGATAGGCGGATGACCCATATACTCTGCAGAATCGTGTCTGCACAAGGAGCGAATCCACGAGCGCTGTGTATTACGAAACGTGGTTATAATGCTAGCAGTATCAATAATTACCACACACACCGCTCAATATGTAAATGAAATGCAACAAGAAGGCCTTAAACAAAACCCAAGACTAGTTGGTCGCGTGTCCATTCGATGTAATAATTCCAGTTATTTCAATATTTAATATTTTTCACACGGAGACAGCATTTCTCATTTACATTTTAAATAAAGTACAGGGTGACCGTTAAAATAGTTTGATGTGTACTCTATCTCAACATAACAAAATCCCCCAGGAGGATTTAACGCTATGAGACAGTAAAATTATCCCGCCAGGGGGTTAAAGACCCCGTAGACGCTTCAATTTACTCTCCGGATCGATAGTCAACATAATTCAACAAGAAATATAGTTTAGAATATCCTATTGTGTATTACTCCAGAGTTTTACACCAGCGATAAAATATAGCTTCGGTTGACTCATTAATTTTATTGAACAGTAAATCTTCGGAATTTTTCATGAAGCAATATATAATAAAACCCGTGAAATATATGAATACTGATCGGAAAGTAATGGCAACAATTGGGAACGATAACACAGATAGCAGGGAAAATGTGCAAATGCAGAGAACGTAACTCGTGCACTGCGTCAAGCCGTGTCTGCAGCCCGCAATGCCGGGGC